CCTGAAACATGTGCACTTTCTACATGTTTTTCTTTAGCGAAAAAATGTTTTTTTTTTCTTTCCATACGACCAAACTGGCCGGATTATACTTACGGTATGATGTGTATTTCAGAATGCTTTTTTACGCAATCTATTAGGCCTTGTTTTGATTACAATTCTCGTCTCAAAAACCTCCGTAAAAACACAGGTCTCTGTTCATCATTTTGCTTCCGGTTGGAAATCTGCTCATGGCCGGTAAGATACAAGTGTAAAATAAATACATCCGTACTAGATTACACCCTTTCCAAGCGCAGCCTTAGGAATTGATTTATTGCCATCTAGATTTGCACTATATGAATGTATCTTCGGTACTAATGTTTGATAAAGCATTGTAATACGTTGCGTTGTGTGCTGATTATGTCCGGTGTACGAACAGAACCGGGCATTTTCAGTGTCCAGATTTGACTATCGCTTGGATGTATACAGCGAGTGAAGAGCCATGCCTCTTCTGATAAAAGAAATACTCCCTCTGTAAGTTAATGCAAGACATTTTTACTGTTTAAATTGAGCTGCAAAAACATCTTATGTACATTAAATTATAGAGGTAGTAAAAAATAAGCCAGTTGCAGTAATAGATTCAGAACTGCATGTCTTTATGAAGATGAGTTGCACATCACATGTACTAGTGTTATTTTAATATGATCACTCCCCTACAACTATTCACTACCGACTAGTACCAGGGGAAATTATTTGTATGCAAAATTAGTCACAGAAGTGGCAGAGAAAAAGAGTCAAACAAACACAAAATATTATAGGCAAAAGCGGGCCGACAAACCAGATTACAATAATCTAGCAACACTCTGTCAAGATTGTTTATTTAGAAACTCTGTCAAGATTTGTCCCCATTGGGACAGGCTTCTCCATGAAAACAGCACGCCACATGAGCCTGTTCAGTTTTAATTAACTGAAAAACTTGTGCTCTCTTTTTTTTAGATGAAAAGGGAGACCTCTCCCCGGTTTCATTACGCGAATAAAACCACACACATATCATGTTCTTACAAGCAGCTCACTAAGAGGAGCAAGTTCTGGAAGGAAAAATAAAACATTAAAGAGAAAGAAAAAACAAAGGCTTAGGCGCGCAGGCCTGATCAAGAGCGGCTATGCTCAAACAGAGGTTACTGGAGCTGGCTCACACCATGGCCATCTCACTGGATTTCCTGAACTTGAACGGCGGCGCTGTTGTAGCTTGAGGTGACCAGCAGACAGACATGGTCGACACCGGGCTGTCCGCCGCGCCTTTGTTCCTTGGATCGCTCTTCTTCGTCGGGGCCGGTGTGCTCTCTTTATCATGCTTTCCAACTTCTTGCGGCGCCTCAGGATCTGGTTTCTTCACGCGCGAGTAGTTGAGGTCGAAGAGCAGCCGCCTCACCAGATTTCTCTTGTCATCTTGGTAAGAAGGCACGGTGAGCCCTGATTGGAGGCAGCAGAGATGCCGATACTCGATCTCGATGTCGTCCAGCGTGGCTTCAGCTTGGTGAGGGAGTCCCCGTTGGCAGCCGCCCCGGCGCCCGCCGGCGTTCAACTGTGCTAGTTCTCATCCGCTGATCACGGTTGATCAGGCCTTCTGGGCCGTGGGAAGCCCACTCTTGCTTGTGATCCTCAAAAAAAAATGTAAAACATGCTGGGTTGGTACGGGTGTGCGAGGGCGGACACGAGCTGTAGGTCTGTCTCAAAAAAAACAGCTGTAGGTTAACACACAATTTTTCCTTTGGTTATTTCTAATTTTTTCTCTATTTTCAGAAATGTCCTAGAAAATATACCTTGATAAATATCTTCAGTAAATGTTGGCATATTTCTATTGTTTACTTTTTAAATAAGTGTTCACATATTTAAAAATGTTCATGTAATTTTATAAGTGGTTAAAATCAGGTGATTAAGAGGTGTGTAGATTTTTCTGAACACTGATAAACTATTTGAAGATCATGATGGATTTTTTTAAAACGTGATGAACACTTTTTAATGTACATGACATACCTTTTCCTAATTGTTTTTAAAACCATTATAAATTCATTTTCAAAAAAATAAGAGAAATCCATTTTTGAAACGCACGATGAAAATTTTCTAAATACAGCCTGACCATGTTTTGAATACGCGATGAACATTTTTGAATGCTAAACGTGGTGAATATTTTCTAAATACGCCCTGACCAATTTTTGAAATAAGCGATGAACATTTTTAAATTGATGATGAACCTTTTCTATAAACATGATGAATAATATTACTAAATACATCAATTAAAAAAATACATGATGAACATTCTCTAAAACATGATGATCACTTTCAGAATATATGTTGAACATTTCATTGAAATATGAGCTGAACATATTAAAAAACATGATGAGCTCTTTTGAAAAACAGTTTGCACATTTTATAACATACACAAAGGAACGGGAACTGAAAGAAAAGAAAAGAAACTTAAATATAAAAAGGAAAATGGGAATAAAAAAAGGAGAAGAACGTCTTTTTAATACATGAAGAAAATTTTTGAAACACACAATGAACACTATTTAAGTACACCATGAATATTTAAATACACAATGAATATTTTTAAATGATTGATGAACCTTTGTAAACACTTAATGGACTTCTTTTATACATGATGAACAATATATCTGAATACACAATGGGCATTTCTTTTAAATGTTTACATTTTTATATATGTTTTGAACATTTTTAAAATAACATAAAACAGTAAAAAAAACTTGCACATTTTAATATATATAAGCGACAGAAAAACTAGGAACAGAAAAAAAAAAGGATAAGCAATGTAAAGAAAAGGACAATAAATTAGAAAAGTTTTCACCTTATTTTACAGAAAAAGTTATGTATACATAAAAAAAGTGCATGTAATTTAATGCGAAATCAAGGAAACAAAGAAAGGAAAGAAGAAACAAAATCAGGAAAATGTAAAATTTGAAAGAAC